ACAAAAAAAAGAAAGAATTTCTATTCATGATAATTTTATTTTTTTTAACTTTCATAAACCATTTAATGCATGCCATTTTACATGTAGAAGGAGCTGGAGGGAGGGAGGGAGAGAGGGGGAAGGGGGACTAAGTAATTTACTTTTGGTTTGGTAGCAAAGAAAGGGTTAATAGATTTTATCTGTAGTGGGTCTAAATTAACATAATGTGACTAGAAACTTACTTTTCACTTTTCATTGTTCTTGGGTGTTTGAAATCTTATCATGTGCATACGTTACTTCTATAATGAAAGTTACTTTTATAATAGAAAAACTCATTCCTTCTGCTCCATCTCATCTATATTTGCTTTGAGATAGGACAGGCTTATTATTTCTAATCTGTAATAAGTCTTTTGCAATAACTTGTAACAAAAGAGCTGCTATTTACAGAGAGTTTTCTATATGTGAGGCAGGGTGCCAGGTTCTCTAAAAGTTATTTTCTTTATCCCTCACCACAATTCTAAGAGTAGTACAACCACCCCTTTTAGTTTAAATAAGGAAATTGAGCCTTTGACAATTAAGTAAATTGCTCAAGGTCACAAAGTTAATAAGCAGTAAAGCCACAACTACATCCAGACAGAATTTATCATTGCCTCCTAATTGGAATAACCACCAGTATTCCCTGTTGCTAGTTTTCACCTTTAACCAAGTGCAATCACTTCACTCCTTTGCTTAAAATCTGTGGAGCATCCTGTCAACCTCCTCCATTGCCTCAGTCCAGCTTTCCACACTTTCATCCATCTGCTCATTATCAGTCAACAAATTATAGCAACCCTGTTTTACATATGGTCTTAAAACACCTGAGACTAGCAAATGAGCAAGCAGTCCTAACCATTTCAATGGCTTGTCAAAAGGCTCACAACAAATGCTCACCAATGATCCCCAAGCCTAGGGCTTGACTGCCTTGTTGGGCTTATGCCTTGAAGTTCCTTCCTGGCTTGTTCAGTGCTCTGAGATTCCTACTAGGTTTAAAGAATGCCACATTCTTCCATCTCCCTCTAATTTTGCAACTGTTTTGCCTTCAGACTTCTGGAGCCTTTACCTTGCCTGGTGAACTCCCACAAATCCTTCGTTAATTATCTCCAATAGCCCATTTTTTGGACTTCATTAAGCTGTTATGATCAACCTTTATATCATAGGTCACATTAGATTAGATGAATTTGCTTTCCTGATTCTCTTTCCCAGGAGACTATCGCATTCTCTAGAACAGGGATTATGAGCTGTGAGTTTAGCCTGAGTAAAACTAAAGATGGAGGGTGGAAAGGAAAAGATGCCTTAAAGAAAACCATGATTAATAGCAAATTTGTGTTCCTAGTGCTTCTAAAATCCTTGCAACACTGAACTAATATATATCAAGAACTAGGCACAGAGCTGGAGACAGAGATAAATGTTAAGCAGGAAAAAATGGTAATGTAATGTGTGTGTATTGTTCATACATAGATAGTATCTATACATAGCATGAGTGGACATGTATAATAGGTTGTACATGTATAGTATGTGCACATATAAGTACATAGTGTGTGTATAGTACATATATAGCATCTATATATAGTACATAAATACACTAATGTTTACATATATAAGTGTTAATTTACATATAGTTGTGTATGTAATGTGCACATAGTGTATATATAGTCCTATACACATGTATTCTGCACATCTCCATGGTGTGTACATATGCATACATGTGCCAGTGTGTGTGTATACTATAGTGCAATGCGATAAGAGATTTACAGAGTACATTAGGGGATGCAGGAAGGATACTCATTTCACACAATAGGAATTTTTCAATACAAAGATAAGTGTCTTGTGTCTGGCTTCCTATTGTGGTGAAAGAGGAGCCCCTGAAGGGAGAAAAAATAGATGGAGAGTTGGGGAAAAGGTTTGAAGAAACCTACTAAAGCCAAGCAAGAACCACACTGCAAGATGAAAGTGGCTAGCTAAACAAATAACAAGGAGATGGGAAAACAAAGAGGGAGAAAGCACTTGATTTAGTAATTAGGCAGATAGATAGGGTGAGACCAGAGTAAGTTTCAGGAAGAGGTGGATTAGATTGACTCAGAGGTGAGGAAATATAATGAGACAAACCTAGATTTCTGTCTTTTTCCAAAACTAGTGTCTTAAGAGGATGACTAGAGAAACAATTCGTGATGGAAACAGAATCAAAAACTCAACTCTGTTTGGCCCCTGAGAAGACAGGAGAGCTCATGCTTGTGGACAGAAATTTCAGTCCTGAACTGCAGTTGTGCTGGGATAGTACAGCACTGATCACAGCAAACGGGACTACACCCTAGACCTCCAACCCTCCTGGTAGTTGATACTTAGCTACCAAAAAACTCTTCACATCAGTTCTGTGAGAGAGATTTTTATGATAAACAACTTTCTATAGATGAGGAAGCCAACACAGAGAGGTTAAGTAACTTGTCTGAAGTTTCTCAACTAGTAAGTCCCAGAACCCAAGTTCTACCCAGGTAATCTGGCTTTAGCATTTATGCTCTTGGACCAGGGACAAAAAGAGATGCAGAAAACACAGTTCTTGACCTGCCTCCTGCTTTCTCTGGCCCTCTGAGGCTGTATGTCAAGAACTAGGAACAGAGCTGGAAGAAGACATAAAAGTTAAATAGGACAAAAAATGATAGTGTGTGTGTGTGTGTGTGTGTGTGTGTGTGTGTAGTTTACACATATAGACTACTTCTACCTAGCATGTTACGTAGTGGCTAGCCTAAGTCTCCTTCTCTGACTTTCTCCCCCAACCCATGCAGAAGCTTTCATTCAGCGACATTACTAGCAACTCAGTGGGCCAGAGAAGCACTGGTTTCAGTCACAGGCATAAGGAGGAAGGGCAGAAAGAAACAATTTGTTGGCAATGAGGATTTGCCTCCCTCCAGAAGTTGTGAAAATTATGGTAAACATTGGACGAGAGGAATAGTAAACACCATGAGGCCAAAGTTTGGGAGAACTTGCTCCAAATTACTTGGAAAAGGGAATTTAACCGCTGTGGGTACCAAACCTCCATCTGTAACATGGGATGATGATTATGATGATAATGTTCCTTCTTGGTCACTTTCCTCATTGCTGGGGCAAAGTACCCAACACCAAAAAAGTAAGGAAAGAGAGGTTTATTTTTGGCTCAAATTTCAGTCCATAGTTGGCTGGCTCCAAAGAAGAAGGAGCTTGGCAGGGGGCATGGTGGAAAAGAAACTGTTCACTTCAAGGCAGCTGAGAAAACAAGAGAGAAGAGAGGGGGCTGTGAGGAAGTTACATCCTTCCAGGTTAAGCCCCAGTGACCCACCACTTCCCTTCCCAAACCCACCTGCTGACAGCAAGTCAGCTACAATGGCTCCATAATCTGATCACCTTTCAAACACCCGGCCTACAGAGCATTAAGGCTTTAGGGGACATATGTGAATCCTGTCAGTATCCTGTATCCCTCAGAGTGTGTTACAAAGACCAAGTGTAATGATGTGTGAAAGTGTCTTCACATATTCATAATTATGATGAAGTGCTCAAACTATTTGAAAAATTTTCCACCCTCTCCACTTCCCCAGGTCTACTTTTCAAGGCTTAAAAACTGGCATATGATCTTGAGAAAGTTTCTGAATCCTAACATTCCCCACTTGAGCAATTTGCTTCAAATCTAAAGTTCCCTTCTATATTAAGGCCACATGACACAATTTAAAAAAATCTCTGAGGATGATTTCTGACAAATTGTTATTATCCAAGATTTATGGGGCAGTTTTTTGGTGCCCACTCATAACAACTAATAATTACACCACATATTCCACACCTTCATGTTTATCCTTCAGTTCTTTCCCCACTCACCATATATGCCATGATATTAACCCACTACCTACAGAGTAGGGCTTTCACCTCACACCTAACTTCTTCTTTTGGCAGATTTCACTTTTCTGAATCAATGTGATCTTTAAGTTCCTTCTTGGTCTTGCTTTGGACAGAGCAACTTCAGTCTAGAAGCAGAGGGAACACAAGTTGGAGCGAATGTCAGAGAAACAGGCATTCTGGTTATGTACTCCCAATCATCTGGGAGGGCCTGAAGATATTTCATGGGAGTCTCTTTTGGTACACTGTGCAGACCAACGTTTATTTGGATTTTTTTTTTTTTTACATTTAAACAAAATAGTCTGGCTCATATATAATGAGGCTACGGTTGCCTGCAAAGCTACGTCCTTTATAGACTTCTGTCAAAATCATCTTCATTTTTAATGAAACCCTACATAAACTGCATTCCAAAGTTAACATTAAAATAATTAGGCAGCATGCAGATGGGTAACAGGTATGTGACCAGCAATAGGGACATTTACTCTCACAAGTACTCTGCACGAGCATCTGGAACACCATCTCTATATACACCAGGAACCAGGGATCCAGGGCCAAATTTCACTTTCTCTCTCTTTGAGAAAGGAGCAGTATATTTTGTATAAATGTCTTAAGAAAATGAAATATACAAAAATTCCAGATCACAGAGGCAGTGTTTTGATGGCTATCTGAATAGGCTAAGGATGGCATTCTGGCCTACTTAAAATTGCTTTCTGCACATTGATTAGTTGCTTGAATGCACATACACTGGACTTAACAGTTTTGCAAAGCAAGGCACTTCTCTATTCTATAAATCCCCTACACACGCCATTTCAAATAACCCAGTAAATCTCCAGTGTAAATAAATTATAGTGTATAGAATAATTTTCATTTATTCACTTTGCAGAAATCACCTGGAAAACATTCAAAATGACAGTTTTTCTCTCTGTAAAACCTCTAGACCACAAGATACAAACCAGCTCCTTCTCCCCTTCTTTACTGCACCTCTCTTGACCTCAAAATACCCACCACTAGAGTCCCTGCTTTACACAGTAGGGCTGATGGAACTAAAGAACACTTACCATCCCAGCTCCCTCTCCTCTTTTTAGCTTTATCCATCAAAATGTCAGTAAAACTGAAGCCAGTAATTGTTTGATTCATGGTTATTTTTTATTTTAAAAGCACGAATAACTTTTTCAATATAAATACACATTTCTTTGAAAAATAGAAAAAAAATAGTATAATTTTGGTCACTGTCCAGCAGGATCATGTTCGATTATAATTCCAAAGTCAGATCCTCCTTTAAAATATGTTCTTTAAGCCCAATTTGAGGACACTTTCAAACATAGGAGAGTCTTTGTTCTTGCAAGAAATCCTTTTAGAGATGATTTAAATATGCCGGTGATGAATGTCTAATTTCCATCCAGGACTCAAGGCTATTGAAATGAGCTAGAATTTGACACCAAGAATACAATTGTGTTGATATTCAAACATTGTATAAATTACTTTGTCAGATTGCAACAATGTATCAGATTTTATCTGTCATCAGTTTTCATCAGTTAATAAGTTACCAGTATTAAAATAGAAGAAAAAGTTTTTTTAAAATGCTCATGAATGTTTCTTCTGATTCAAGTGTGAATCGCACAACACCCCAGAGTTTGAGGGGCACCCACCACAGCTACAGCACCACGCTGGCGGGGGTGCGGGCCGCAGAGTGCCCAGTATTTTGTCCCAGTGAGTGAAGTAAGGGGCGAAGTTGCAGTTAAACTGAGAGTGGTGCAGGTCATGGTGCGCCACGCCCCCATACCACCCGAAAGGCACCAGCCTGTGAGTGGACCACGGAAAGTCGTAGCCGGAGTGGTCCTCCACCGACAGCCAGATGTTGACCACGTGAAAGGTAAGAACGGTGAGCGGGTGGCACCTGAGCAGCGTGACGTTCACCATGTCAAAGAAGCCCAAGGAAAACAGCTCCCAAAGGCTCATGTGTTGCGTGGCCAGCGCGAACAGGGACGAGTTCTGGTGGTGCACCTTATGAAAGGTGCGGTACAGCCAGGGGACCTTGTGGTGCAGCACGTGCCACACGAAGAACTCGGCGTCGAAGAGCAGCAGGCAGAGCAGGACGTCGCGCAGGAGCTGCAGCATCTCCGGGGCTTCGGGAGGCAGCAGAGCCGGGCTGCAGAGCCAGTGGAGCAGCGTCACAGGAAACACAAACACCAGGTGCTGGTACAGTGTCTGACCCAGGCAGGTCAGCAGCTCCCGTGCGGAAGGCGAAAAGTCGGGGTGGATCTTGTAGCGTCGCAGCGCGGGCACCCAGGGATACAAGAAGTCCAAGACTACAAAAGGCAGGCAGATGCCCAGGTAGGTGATGATGGCGAAAATGACCGGAAAGAAGGGTGACTGGACGAGCGCCTCCCAGGTCCTTAGACGATCCCAGAGGGGCTGCAGGAGCAGCTGGCCCGAGCTGCACAGGACCTGGAGCTCGGAGCTGTTGCGGCCGCTCATGGTGAAGCTGAGCCTGGCAGCTGCCACAGTTCGCAGTTTCACCAATTTTTCTTAAGGCTCGAGGCCCCGCCCCCGTGATGTCACTCTTGGCCCTCTTTCCCGGCTGCCGGAAACTCGAATATATAATTCAAACGTTTGCGCTTACTTGCTGTAAAATATACGCATCTAGAGCTGAATCTAATTGTCTTATACATGCACGTGTGCAGTGACACCTAGAAGCTTTTTCTATTCGTGCAGAATTACGTTCTGTTTTCAGTTTACACGCTACAGCTGTGCAGATCTACACTGAAGAGTTTCCATGGGCTTTGGCAACTCAATTTACTCACGTCATCATCGTTCCCAAAGCAGTATTTCTATCACTACCAGAAAATGCTCCTAACTGCATCAATGTGCCTTCATCACGACGCAAGCATAACTGCGTTTTGAAAGCTTTAAAGCGAGGAACCTTGCGCAGTTCGGGTCTGTCCAGCGCGCGCCTTGGAGTGGTCGATTCTTCCACAGACCGAGCGCAGTCCCGGGCAGCCCGGGTAGGATCGGCTCGGCAAGGGGGGTGGTCAGCGGGTCGGAAAGGAGCTTTCTGGCCCGGCTCGTATCACGCCGGAGGAACTAGGAGACCAAGGAGCAGCAGCCCCCTGGCTCGGACGCGAGGCGGCCTCACTAGAGCCCCGACCCGGGCCGGGCGGCACCGCTGCCAGGCGAGAACGCCACTGCTGCGCTCCCCTGTGAGGAGAAAATGCTGGGTTTAGGTGGAAAGGACTGAACCGGAAAACCTCTTACTTTCACCCTCAAGGAAGGACCTATGAGTTCCTGGAGCCCCTGGGAGGCTGGAAGGTGCTGTCCTCTCACCTACCCGGCCCTGCCTGGGTGGCGGCAGGCTTTTTTCCCTCCGTCCTTCTTCTCCAAAGAGCACTCCCTGCCCAAACAGCGGGACCTCGCCATCCCCCGAGTTTCTGGGCCAGCAAACTTCAGTGATTGGGCCAGGGATCGCACACAAGTCCGCCTTAGGAAACTTCTGCAGAGACTTCCCCGCATTAAAAGCAAACAAATAAACAAACAAACAGTCCCTATACCTTTAAACGAGGTGGCGGACTCACCGTGACCACAAGAGACCCTTAAAATATCTGTCGTAAAAAATAAAAAATAAACTTAAGTCTTTGGAGGAAAACGGGTACACCTTGAGACCATAATATTAAGTGAAATTAATCAAACACACAAGCCGAAATATCGCATGGTTTCTCTTATATGAGAAACAAACAGTAGAAATAAAGAGTAAAATGCCAGATAGATAATAGGAAGTAGGGAGGTAGATATTTCTCAAATGGGAAGGAGTCAAGAGGTGGTAGAGAGGAAAGGGTGAAAAAAGGAATTAAGGTGTATTATGTACGTACCAACTCCACACAAGGAATGTTAACATTATGTACTGCAAATGTATACTGATTAAAAAAATTTTTTTAATTTAAGTTTTGAATAATAATTTTGAAGCCAGGGACCACTCTAAATTTCAGCTTTTGCCATTTCTATCTGTGAATCTGAGGTCTCCCTGTCACTCCCTGAAGCTTGTGTTTTTTCATCCACCCAAAAGGAAACAACAACAATAATAACCATCTTACTTGCCTGTTGTTAGCATTAAATGGAAAAATAAAAAACATTCACCATGTAATGCCCACCATTAGCTAAGCAGTTTTAATAGCAAGATTTCATCTAATCCCCAAGAGCTGTTCCCCCTCTGGCAGGAAGCAGACATTATTTTTGTTGTGGATTTACAGCAGTAAAATCACAGTACCTAGCACACAAAATTAGAAACATATTATTTAAATTTGTACACCACATTTTACCTAAAGAATAGTTGAGACAATTGAAATTAAAATCAAATAAAATTATGTAATGAGAAATACAAGATATAAAGCCATATATTATGAAGAATAAGTACTATAAAACATAGATTGATACAGGCTTAAAATATAAAAATATATAGGACATACATGATATAGACCAATTTATACAATATATATGATATATACATCATAGCAAGCAAATTCATAATTCAGAACCTCCCACTTCGTGTCCCAGAACTGCCACTGATGGAATTTGAACATACCTTGGACACCCATTCTTGGGATCCTTAGAACAGTAGTGGTAAACCTATGGCACATGTGTCTCAGTGGACTGTTTTGTTATCACTGAAAGCTCTAGAAGATTCGCCATCACTGCCTAGGCCATAGATATTGGCATTCTGGCCCCTTCTTTTTAAATTCCAATGTGAATATTATCCCACTTGGCTAGTTTCTCTTCATCAGGGTTGTCAGCAGCTTTGAGTTTCCTGACAGCAGATGTAAAGAGGGAGAGAATTTAGATTTTCTAATGTAGCTCTGATGTCTAGATAGTAGCAGAAAACAAGTCCAGTACAGACCCCTGGCCTCAGTACTGGTAGACCTCTTCCCATGAGACAAGGTCAAGCTCCTTCTCCATCTCTGTCCTCCCCTCCCTAGTGTTGTTTCTACTTCACTTTTAGGGCAACTTAGGAACTTTCTTCTTTCTCATTCTTGGTAGACTAAAATGTCTATCTTGATGCAGTGTCTCAGAGAAGAAAAAAGATTTTTGGTCCTTCACTCTTATAACCCTTGGAAGCTCTAAAGGAACCGTCAGATTTCTCAGATTTACAAATGGATTCTGTTAATAAATATTGTTCAAACTAACCCTCAACAAATTAAGTCAACAATCAACTTTCTTTTCGGCACACGGTGTCCTTTCCCTGGATGAAATCTTGGTTCTCATGCATGGGTGCTTTGGATGCTCTTGCAGAATTTTTGAGTGGGTGGCACTGGCAGGTAAGCATAATTTGGACTTAGTTATTAGATTTGCTGTCAGGACTGCTCCTTTGAGACCCCAGACCAATGAAACTGTTCTTGCCCTGCTTTGGTGGTTCTGTCCTCTGTTCGTGCAGGAACAGTATTCAGGTGCTAGTGACTTCAAACTCTATGAAGCTAGACCTGGAAGTCAGGCTTCAGCCTGCTTTTTCCACCCCACCCCACCCCACCAAACCCTGACCTCACAGCACTTTGAAGAAGAACAGGCAGCCTCTCTGGCATCTTGGCACATGAAGCCCGCCAAGACAGAAGTTTGCATTTCATGCACAAATGCACCTATCTTGGGGAAATTGGGCAGGGAAAATCTTTTCAGCTGTCTCTCTCTGTCATGAAGGACAATGAAAAAGTAATCACAATATGTCAGATGAATCTAAATCCGTCAAAATTGAATGGACCAGAATAAAATTGAAGTCTATATAGTGACTACAATGGAGCCACTAGTTGAACTTGGCAAGCTTAAACCTCTAAATACTACCCATGCACAAAAATGTAATAGCTTTCTAGGTGAGTAGGTCCCTTTAGAGTCCAAGGTGTATCTTCTGAGACATTTTTCCTGCAGTGTCAAATGTTCACTGTGCGTGTGTGTGTGCACGAGACAGAACCCGGGCCCTGCACGTCCTGAGTGTATGGTCTATCGCTGACCTGCATCCCTAGCTCTAAACATCGTATCTTGTACATAGTGAGTGTTCAGAAGTACCAGGCGTTCCTTTTAAAAAATACTGGCTCAAAAGTGAGACGACAGATGGAATCTTCCTTTTTCCTGGAGCAATAGTAGATGTAGTTTTTTGATGTAGTTAGCTACACGAAGCAGGGAGATATTTTCCAATTTCAGAGAGCACTAGAACTTGGGCCATGCTATTTCTTATACTTCTCCAGTTATCATGACTTCTTATGTATCATTTTTGTCTTAACGGGATCTCTCTGACAGGATTGGAAGACAGTAATCTTTTTCTCTAGTTTCCACAAGGGTCAAAAACTTTTTTGAGATTACTACTGTGTGCATATTTAACACGTTCTTGAAATTATTTGGTAGCAACCTACCAAAAGACATCGAATACTTCCCCCTCCTGAAAATAGAATATGTAATTGGCAAAGCCTGTTATCAATCATATAATCTCTTCTAAAATCACTTTTGTAATGTTTTTCTTTTAAAAAGTGAAAGTCTTGGCAGCTACTAACTAAAACCACTCTTCCTGGATATCAGAGATGTGTAGTGTTGTGTAATGCTTAAGACTCACAGAAGTGGAGCAGTCTCAAAACTCAGAATCAAACTCTTCATTTTAAGGATTAATGGTTAAAGTTTCTGCCTCAGAAAAGTCAAGACTAACCAGAGTTGAACAGTAAATTCTAGGCAAGTTGAGTGGCACCCAGGCAGTGTCAGCTCCAAGCTGACTATCTCTCCAGGAGGAGTTTGATATTGGAAGAGGATACAGAAGCTGTTTTTATGTGTAATTTACAAAAGATTTAGAAAACATTAAGTCACCACACAAAAAGCAGTAAACTTTGATGAAGAATATGAGGATTGTTCACTCCCCCAAGAGGCTCCCTTGATGCTCCTATAAACCTAGATATTGATGCATATTTTGATTTTAGGCACTGTATTTTTGATCCATCTATATCACATGTAAGCAGGTGTTTCTACTGATATGACTGGACCTCTCATCCACCTCTCTGAAACATTTAACACACTTAAAAATCACCCCAATAAACAGGATACCATAAAGCAGGAAAAATGATACTCATCCACTGTCAAAAGAGTTGTTACAGTGATCAAAGCCTTATGAGAAGGCTTTAAAAACTCAGATGGCACAATATAAAATGAAAATGATTATTTTTACAAATACTAGGATAACTCAACAGGGAAACATTTTTATTTCTTAGTTTAGAATTGAACTTGTTATCTGCACACATATAATAAATATTCTTCAATGACTAGCTGGAAATTTTATCAGAATAATTACTAATCCAATGTTGCCTATCAGGCATCATGAGAGATCACTTTTATTTTAAAAATTTCTCCATGTGGGCCGGGGATTTAGCTCAGTGGTATCAGCACCTGCCTCGCAAGTGCAAGGTCCTGAGTTCGATCCCCGGTACCAAAAAAAAAAAAAAAAATTTCTCCATGAATAAAGCAAGAAATGGCAAAAGATTGAATTACAGCATATTTTAAATGTTTAACACATTAACACTATTAATAGCTACTGTTAATAAAGCTATGAAATAATCTTTATTACTTGGAGACAGTTGTACAAAATTTTGGTGCTTTATTCAGGTGAGCCCTGAATTAAAGCCTTCTCCAGTCCCATCCACCCACTACCCATGGCCAAAGTACCTAATGGGTAAATTTTTATATTTAGGTCACATTTGGGGTTAGCTATTCCTTGAGAACATTTTTCAAATCTTATCCATTAGGCAAAATTAATTATGTCTGGATAGAAGTGACCACAGCTAGAGCTAGCCTTACCCAGAATCAAATTACTAACCGGCTCATAAAGCTCCAAAGTTCTCTTCTTTCCCGGAGGAAAGCCCCAGAGAAATACTCTTCTCAAGTGCTGGAGGGAGCAGGGAGCAATGGGAGGAGGAGGGGAAGAAAAAGGAATTTAGATCCGTTGTGCATGTGTACAAACTCCCACACAATAAATTTAATCATTATGTACTGCAAACGTGTACTAATAAAAATTAAGAAAAAAGAATTAAGAAAGAGCAGAAGCAAAATTCAATAAAAAGCAATTTTATGAAGAAAAAAAAGGAAACTGGGCGAGATTTGCATGCAAAGCCAAGAGTGCCCTCTGGCGGAATATAGAAAAATGATTATTTTTTCTGCATTGATTGTGATTCATTTTGTAATCTTTCATTTTCCCCTGTAAACACAGTATCTTAGAAAAGAGGTCTATGTTGGCAGACTTGTATAAACGTCAGGCTAGAGGCCCTTGTAAATCTTTGTGTTCTGCTAAACAGAAGATTTATCAATGCCTGCTGAAAAGAACAGAGCAGGAGCCTCTAGGAAATTGTCACAGAATGTCTTACGGCAGAAGTGCCAACTCTCAGCTAATGATGAATGAATCTATGTTAATTTTATTATATATATATGCTTGCTATTCAGTTCTGGCTGGCCTCAAACTCGTGGCGATCCTCCTGCCTCTGCCTCCTGAGTGCTGGGATTACAGGCATGTGCCACCACACCTGGCTTACATATTCTTGATATTGTTTAAATATCTGAATTTAGTGCTGGGTAAATTCCACCCTTGAGATTCTCTGATCCTCCTGCCTCAGCTTGGGATCACAGGTGTTCATCACCACATCTGGCAATAAAGCTATGTTAATAAAGCCAGGATTTGAAGGCTACAGAGGGATTATACTGCTGCTTCCAGGGCAAGAGGCCACCACCAAAGGTAAATGAGCCATGTTACTCAATGGCTGTGCAATATCTCCACCTTCCCACTGGCCCATTCATTCTTAGAAAAGCCCCCAGTGCAAAGTTTGGAAAGAAAGCAAAGAGGAAAACAGGCCCGTGAAAAGTGTACTTTTGAATCCATGTTAATGGTTTATCTCTAGATGACCCCCCCTAAGGCCTCTTGTGCTCATAGGTGGGGCTTTTGGGAGGTGCTTGGATCATGGGGGTGGGATGCTTATCAGTGGATTAGTCTACTAATGAGTTTATAGCTAAATGTGATTTGGGAGGTGAACCCTGAATGGAGGAGGGGTCTCTGGGGGTGTGACCTGGAAGGGTCTATCTCCCTTTCTCCTTCCTTGATCCTTCACTATGCTTCTTGCCTCCCATGCCATGAGCAATTCTCTTCCATGCCCACCTGCCATGACACCCTGCCTTGGAGCCAAACGAGGATGGACTGAAACCTCTACAAACTGTGAGCCAAAATAAACCTTTCCTCTTTAGATTTGTAGGTGTTGGGTGTTGTGTCTAAGGGTCAAGAAAAGTAGCCAAGACAGTCTTTCGTAACAAGAGTAGGGTCATTGCTGTGAGGCAATGTGGTTCAGAAGCCTTTTGAAATGCCCTGCAGGAGAAGTTTGGAAAGGACTGAAGATGCTGGCTGGAAAAACAGCCCTAGAGTGCTGTGAGCCAAGCTTCATGGGAGATTCTAGTCAGAGCTCAGAAAAACAGAATGTTTTGATAGTAATGCAGCAGAAAAATACAGGCTCAAAGGGTTTCAGTTGGGAAGGACTCCACTGGGAGTTGGACTCTAGACCATTTGTTATGGTATGTCAGAAAATTAATCTGCATTTTGCTTATGTCCAGACACTTTGTGAGAGACTTAGATTAAGGACAGCGGGGCTGATTAATCTGGTGGTGGAAATTTCAAAGCAGACAAACATTCGTGCTGTGGCTTGGGTTCTGTTGGGGGCTTTTGGGCAGCTCTACACTGAGAATCAAGAACAAAGAGCACAGCAGAATGGTTTAAAACATTTTGAGTTTGGCCAAAAGGAAGCTCCAGTACAGTTGGGGCATGCAAAGATGGAGTAAAGGAGACCTTGGTTGCTGAAAAGATTGGCATTAGAAGGAAGCCAAGTATTTTGGAACGGGGCATGGGAGGAATCCAAAAGACTCCACCTTTCACAGACTCAAAAAGACCTGTGAAAGGAAAAGTGAAAGACTTGTTCATTCATGAGACAGTTGTCTCTAGTCGTGTCCAAGAACTTGCCTAATCACAAGCTTACAAGCGTATCTCTGGGGACACCAATGACAACAGCCATGGCAAGAGGAGCTAAGTCACCCACGGTACTGAAGCCATTCTCTGGCAGGTTCTCCCCACTCCCGGAGAAAACAACAAATAGAAATGTCCACTCACTGTCCTTTTTTTATCAGCCCTACCCAGTAGGCATCTGTACCTGGTTGGTCATTTTGCCTTAGTCAGAGGCAAAAGAATAGCTTCTTGGAGGAACATATGGCCAGCAAAGAGGGTGGCACCCTCCTGGCAATGCACACCCCTGTGTATAGTACTTCACTTTTTTTCTGTGGTTGCCATGGGAAAATCACACCAATTCTATATCTAGACCCTCCCAGATGTTACTTGTGTTTCTAACTTCATTTCCCTAAATGAAGAAGTCCACTGTTCCACAATTTTGTCAGTCCACATACATTTATTGACTCACCATTCTCCAGGCTCTGAGTTAGACTCTGGGTATGCAGAGATGAGTAATACATATATTGTGCCCTCAAGTTTGTACAGTAGTGAAAGATTGTACGGGCCCTCAAATCGGGGGGGGGGTATGGTATGTGCTGTCTCTGCTGACTTCAGTTCCCTCCTTTCAAGGATGAAAATTTCTTAGGCCTATGGTCCTACCCGTGGCCAGACACTGCCTATAGATAAGGTTTTCTTACTGCCTAACTCAACTCATGGCCTCAATAACATGACCCATGCAGGGTAGCACCTGAGCCTAAATCTCCAAACTATGCTCCAGCCCTCCTTGGGCTCGGGATCCTTTCCTCCTCCCCCTAGGAGAGGAACAAACATTCATGGTCAGTATTAGGTTCACAAGGAGGAAAGAGGAAGGGGAGTTGAGAAAGATGAGCATGAGCCCTGTCAGAAGAAAAAGGGGAGAATGAAATGGTCATTTTTTAAAAAAGAAGGAAACACACAATTCTTTAGGCCTGTGAAGCTCTTTGATTTTTATTGGAAAGTTTAAATAAAATCTCTTAATGTTACAAGTAGTATTATTCTGCCCGCATGTACTCAATACCAAGTATCGTTATTGTAGCGAAAATAAGTATATCAGAAAAACATCAATTATCATTCTGTCCACCTGACAGTATTATAAGGAAACAATATTGCAAGAAAACCAGACAAATATAGGCTTCCTGATACAGGGATGCAAAGCAGGCTTATAACAATATAGATGAAACTCAACTAAAATATAAAATGAATTCCTGAGCTGAACTTTAAACTAAAACATTCATATTCACATTTCATACGAGTGAAAATGAACCAGGACACCTTATAGGGGACCACAGGGCTTTGGGTTCACAATGACCTCATCAATGAGCTACAGCAGCTGGTTCAGAGTTCCTTATAGTCTCTTCACAGTACTATTCTGCTGAAACAAGTAGAATTACAGCCTGCCATGCAATCTAGAGTTCACAAATATAGATAGTTGAATGTATCAGCCTTCAAGTTATTTATAAATCAGTGCAATATGCTCTTCAAAACTTCAGCAAGCTATTTTGCTTGACCTGAGCAATTTAAACATTTGTTAAATATATGTTACTTTGGTCTGATAAAATTCATTATGGAATTTTCACTACTGGCACAGCTAGGATAGCACTGAACTTGACTAAGTACCTACTACACAAAAATATGACAAAGTTTTGTTTATATCCCTAAATATAAGACAATTAGACTATGGAGCCCTTGAAGGAAAGGAGATGAGAACTGGATACTTCTTTTTATACTGTGATTAAGTCAGTGACAGATTATTTACCAACAACCAACAGAGTGCAAAATTTCCAATACATCTATTAACTTAACCTGGATAGGGGTAAAAAGGCAATACAGTAATTTTAAATTGTAAGGAGAAACAGAACAGGTTTACATGTATTGTCACATGTCAATGATATTTCTTCAAGACAACACGATAGTGACACTGGCTTCAGATTCTGCCATAAGTAAGCAAAATGTAGCTAGTGTGTTTCGAATCCTAACTGTAGAAAACTGGGCATCTTCAAAGTCATAATTTTCTTACAAAAATACAAAAGATCTGGGGAAGGAAAATAAGTGTTTTACGGAAATCAAGCAAACACATTTTCGCATGACTTGCTGGTCCACGTCTGAATTTTGGTTTTCATGTGTATTTCCTCATCAGATCAATAATTTCATTGTACATCCGCCAAGGGGCATCCAGGCCCCAGATAAAGTCAATATGATCCCAGTCAGGAATTCGCTTGTGGTACACCAGGTTAGGGATCTGAGTCAGTAAGACACTGATGTCGCTGGCATCTGCAAGCCAGTCGTGGTCTCCACTCCAGAGTGCAGTGGGCACAGGCATGTCTTTCACATTGTACATGGGAGGATAACTCTACATGCAGAAAGAGCCACAGAAAGTACTGTTGTTATAATTTTCAAAGTCACATTGAGTACAATCTCCAAAAAACACTGTTTAGAAAGTCTGATATGAGCAAAAGAGACTAAATTTTGAAATTTTGTTTCAGTACATTTTTCAAGTTGCCTTTACCACGCAAAAAGTAATCAACATCACTGGTCATTCCAGAGATGCAAATGAAAACAACATTGAGATTCCACCTCACCTTAGAAAGAATGGCTGCCATCATGAAATCAACCAATAACAAATGCTGGCAGGGCTGTGGGGAAAGAGGAACACTGCTCCACTGCTGGTGGGAGTGTCAACTGGTGCAACTACTGTGGAAATCAGTATGGTGATACCTCAAAGAACTAGGACTGGAGGTCCCATTTGACCCAGCTATTCTCCTGCTGGGGATCTTCCCCAAAGAATTAAAAGAATCATACCACAGTGATATATGTGCACCCATGTTCATAGCAGCACAGTT